GCCATTGGCTAGTGATCTACGGTCTGCAGACCATCCAGTAGAAACCACTAAAGCCTAAATCTTGAACATCCGCCGTGAGTATGCACCTCGTAACAATACAGGATCTCTTACGATCTCAAACACTCGAGCAAAAGTAATGATGGATAACAACGCCTTCCGGGCCGCGTTACTATTCGATAAATGCTGTTGTTTCGTTGACTCTCCGTATTTGATATCAAACGACAAACCTGCTGCAATTGTAAGTATTTTTTGGTTTCAAATATTTTTTTAAAAATAGTATCAATGACAACTGACAATACATGGAAATTTGGTTTATAAGGATTTTTTCGTTCTAAATCATTTTCAAATGACTGTGCGTATATCTGTTTCTGTTATGGGTTGCGTCCATGGACTATGAAATGAAAATAAAATCACCGAGAAAATTCGAAACCCTTGACTGAAACGATGCTCAGATCCCATCAAAACCGTTTGAACATAAGTTAGGACTGAAAAATAAGATACATCGCAAGTTTCGTTGAAAATAATTTATAGCTTAAATATCAGTCTGTTCACTGCTCAAGTCTACTATTCAACGAGATAAACGCAAAATGCAAAGAAAGTCACGATGGAAATATAAAAGATTTATTCAATACTGATATCAATCGAGCACCACGTCCTTCTTGAAATTATACGTGATTTTTGTTAGCCCGTTGTTTCACAGTACCTTTTCCCATTCCTTATTATTTAATCCACACAGGAGCACATTCTTACAGTGAGCAATATTTTAACAACATTTAAGGCCAATCCATCCGATGAACAGCAAGATTCCAAAAACCCCACAGAGGATCATTTGGAGGCTTTACTCGAGGAAGAGTGCCAGCAAGCTTCTACTTACAGATTGTGCTCTTCTCAGGTGGATCTTAAGCTGAGGCTTTTGGATTGGCCTTCCGGTCAGCACAGATATTGTGAAATATTGACAATCTCGACGCTATGAAGATCCACAATTGTATGAACTATCAATGATCGCATCTCCAGCACTGGCGTGCACAGGGTGGGGCAATTGCCCCTCCTTTTATAAATAAAATTTTTATTCCCACATTTACAAAATTATGATATAAAATAACTTGATTCCTTGATAACTTGATTTGAAGGTAAAATAACTTCATTTCATAATATAAGGGCACTGAAAACCTTTTACTGCGTCAATTCCTTTGAGATGGTGCCTGAAAATGGTTTCACAAAGGTGCATGAAGGGACAAACTTCAATGAATTTTTTTTGTTAAAAAATTGCACCACAGTGGTGCATACAAAACATTTTAATGTAATTCTTTTTTTTTCAATGTGGTTCATGGAGGGCTAAAAGAAGAGGGTAAATTTAAGATTGATAAAATTCACCTTCGTGGTGGTAAATCGAAGAAAAAGCTTTTTATTGAATATTTCTGGAGTAAATATATCATCAACGTTGTGCATGGAGGGGCTAATCAAAAAGAATAACTCTGGTGGAAAAATTGAATACCGCTAAAAACTTGGAGGTGCAAATTTAACTGAAAATTTCTGGTGGAAAGTTTGCAACACTGTGGTGAATGTAGAAGCAAGGTTTATTATTTTTTCTGGTGCATAATTTGCACCGTTCTGATGAATACAACCTTCATTGAAAATTTATGGTGGAAAATTTGAAGAAAATTGCCTGAAAATTGCACCACAAAGGTGCATGGTAAAACAAACTTAACTGACAATTTTTGGTGCAATGGTGAATGGAGGAGCATTTTTTATTGAAAATTTCTGGTGCAAAATTTGCATCGCCGTGTTAAATGAACAGAAGATTTATGGTGGAAAACTTGCACTGGTAAATGAAGGCACAAGCTTTATTAAAAATGTAGCTATATTGAAAATTTCTGGTGGAAAATCTGCACCGTTCTGGTGAACGGATGGGCAAGCTTTTCGGAAAAATTTTGGTCATAAATTTGCATCCTTCTGCTGAATAGAGATACAAACTTTAATAATAATTTCTGGTGTAAAATTTGCACCATTTTGATGATTGGAGGGAAGCTGATTTACTGAACATTCTCATAATATGAAAATAGGGGCAAGCTTTATTTGGTGGAAAACTTGCAACATTCTGATGATAGGAGTAGCAAGCTATATTGAAAATGTCTGGTGGAAAATTGAAAAAGGAAATCTGCACTAATCAGAAGATTGGAGAAGCAATTTTTATTGAACATTTACGGTGGAAAAATTGCATCGTTCTGGTCAGTTGAAATTTTATGGGGGCAAGTTTGTATTGAAAATTTCTGGTGTAAGATTTGCAACAATCTGCTGCATGGAGGGGCAAGCTGAATTGAAAATCCTTGATGTAAAAATTGCACAGTTCTGATGAATGAAGGGGCAAGCTTTATTGAACATTTTGGTAGAAAAACTACAACGTTTTGGTGAATGGACGGACAACTTAAACTTGACTTCCAAGAAGAACCCCAATGGTATTGAATTCTGAGGACAGTTCTAAAAGAAAAGATTTCTGGGGATGATTTCATGAAAATTCTGCGAATAATTTCTAGTGAATCCTGCCGATAGTTCTAAGATAATTTCAAAAAGAATACCGAGAGAATCAAATTTTGAATGAAATTCCAACGGGATGTAGGGGAAAATTTCCAGAAAATTTCCAGGAAATTCCGAAGATAATTTCAACCTCATTTTGGGAAAAAAAAAATTCTTGAGAATACAGAGGAAATTCTACTGAAACTTCAGGGGAATTTCAGTTCCAAGGTGTTCTGAGAAAAAAAAAAGTTCTAAAATATTCCGAAAAGAACCTCAAGGATATTGAATTCCTAGGACAGTTCCAAATTTTTTCTGGAAAGAATTCAAAGAAAATTCTGCGGATAATTTTTTAGTGCATCCCTGCAGATAGTTTCAAGATAATTTCGAGGAGAACTCTGAGAAAATCAAATTTTGAGTGAAATTCCGAAGGGATTTTAAGCAAAATTTCAAGCGAATTCCGAACAAACGGGAAAGCATTTCTGAAGGAACTTCAGTTATAATGTGGTCTGAGAAAAAAATCATGGGTAGTTCTAAATATTATAGCAGTGGACTTCTGAGAAGAATTTCCAAAGAGCTATTGGGAGAGTTCTTCAAAATCCGAGAAGAACCTCAAGGATATTGAATTCTGAGGACAGTTCCAAAGGATTTCTGGGAAGTATTCCAATAAAATTTAGCGGGTAATTTCTAGTGAATCCTGTAGATGTTCCAATATAATTCCGAAAAGAATACCGAGAAAATTAAATTTTGAGTTAAACTCCAAAGGGATTTTTTAGACTTAATTTTTATTCAAATGGCAAAGGAGTACCGATAATTTCTAGCTCATTCCGGGAATAATTTCTGGATAATACTGAGGAAATTCTTCTGAAACTCTAAGGGAATTTCAGTTCCAAGGTGGGCTGAGTAAAAGTCAAGAAGAATTTTAAAAGAGTTCATAGAGTTCTAAAAACTTCGAAAAGAACCTCAAGGAACTCTGAGGATGGACTTTTTCGCAACTGCACAAAGTTTAAAGACAGCTTTTGGATTCCCTATTTGAAAAGAAGGTATTAGTTTGCCATTGAACCCTGTGAACCCCTTTCAAGTCATTTGATACCGAGGTTAAAAATTTACAGCTGTTTATGTGCGTTGCAATAAATTCGGGTTTATCCTTTATATCATCTTTAAAATATGTTGAATGTTCGGCATAATTTTCTGTCACCTCAACTGGCGGTACTTAGGGACAGGGTTGACATGCTCAATCCTTCGCACATGTCGTCATTCCGTTAACAATCCTGTACTTGCTTGTCAAAATAGTTTTGTGCGTTTTCGTTCCAATCGTTACATATTTTTTAAACCTTTTTAATGAGCCTTGGCATTTAGGTTAAAATTTGAAAAATTAAAACTCTAATTTTCGCTGAAAATGGCCAAGTTTAACGTACTCGCAACGGTAATAGTAAAGTGTAACTACAACAGCATATAAGGACTTAAAAACCTTAACCTTGTCAAAAATAAACTGTAACGATGTCTTCAAAATATACAAAAACGTACTGCACAAAATTTCAGAAAGGTAACTGAATAAAAAATGATACCTTGAAGAATATATTTTCTATGGTTTATATTTTTATATTTTTAGAGCATGACGCAAAATATTATTGCAACATTTTTCTATCAAAATATTAATCGAACTGTAACTTTAACTTCCAAGAAATCTTAGAAACTTTAAAAACTATTTTGAATGTTATTCTGGATTTTCAAAGCCAATTAAATCGTTTTCTGAAATGTCAGTCCCAGGAAGTTGATTTTAGGCAAAAAAAAGTTTTTAGTTAACACTGGACCTTGAAGATTTCCGAAATTTAATATATCCCCTTGGGAAATTTTCAAATGAAATAAGTTCAAACTTTGACGATTTTGCGCCAACTTAAAATTATGTCCTATTGAGCCCACATTTTGCAAAGTATTTTTTTCGAGACAATAAACATATTGTATATGGTCAGTTCGATTTTTTTTTCATTGGCACCCTATGGTAAACATATGCTATTTGATAGCTTTTTGACATTGTGCAACTAAATCAAATAAATTTTCCAAAAACGGCAAACCTTACTAGACTTCCTACTTCAAAAAATACAAAAGAAGATTCCTTCTAAAAAGTTACATTCATTTAAGTGGAAATGCAAATGATAATTGCTGTACAGCCAGAGAAGCTGCATAATTACCCCCGCGTGAACTCCGACGCAATTACGCATAATTTACAAGCACATATGCAGCGCGGGTACGCCCGTTTACCCTGCTTCTTTGATCAAAAGCAAATGCAATGCCGAAATTACCCACATCCCACCAATCGGGCACGCTTGTTGGTGAGCTGCACGCGATAAAAATCCTTCCAACCACCATCGCCGGAAAAAAAAAACATGCCTACCAAAACACAATTGAATGCATTTAGCACACGGACGGGCACGAAACCCGTATACATATATCTGGATTACCTTACAGACACGAGGGGAGGCACTTACCTTGAACCGTACGCGAAGTTCGTACTTTTTGCCGGCCTGCAGCCGAACGCACGGTGCCAGGAACCATGGTTCGTCGTGTATCCGCAGACCCAGAAGCAGCTGAACCAGCGGCCCAATTCCGTACTGCTTGCATAGGTTGATGCACAGATCCTCACAGGTGTCACCGTCCTGAATCGGGACGTCAACGAATTTTTCCACCAGATAGACGTACACCTGACAGTTGTTTTCATGCTCCGACATGGTCGGAACCCGGAACAATTTGCACTTCTGCCTTTTTCTCCTTCTTTCACATGACCATCAAGCTAGATTTGAGTGGCCACACTTTTCACTTAGAATTAATACCTACTTTGCCTACATGGCAAGACTGTTCTAACGGTTTCACTTTTAAGTCACTAACGAGCGAAAACTGCAACGTAGCTAATTTTTTGTGTTGGGTACGATGGTTATCACAGGTTCAATGCATGACCGAATTGTTGTTCTATTCTACAAAGTTCACAACTTCGATGCATTTCCTCCGGTGCGCGAATTCTAAAGGAGCAAAACAAAGACTGAACTGAGCTGAGGAGAGCAGATTGGAGTATCGGCACCGACTATGGCTCTGGGCTGGACTGGAGTGCACACATCGCGGTCCGACGTTGACGAATAACATGCACGATCACTGGACGATAATAACAACGACGAAGACGACGGGTGAGTGATACTGATAGCCCGAGTAAAGTCCAACATCAAAATGAGAACAAATGGCACTAATTTTTTTTTATGTAATGATGATATGATAACAAATTTCAACTGAAAATGATTGGTTTGGCACTCGTTTTGTTATCAACGGGAAACATGAACTTGAAATTTCATTTTGCTTTCACTGATAGCAGAATTAGTTTTCAATTTGATGTCACAGGAATTTTAGTTTTACAGGTATACCTCGATGTAACGTAACAGTCACTTTTGACTTCCATCACCGAATTTTCTTAAAAACGATCATTCAATCAAGGAAAGAAATGATTGCATTGGAAAGTTGAGACAAACTTCCATCTACTGGTAATTTTTATTTATATGATTGAATTGTTATTTGAGAGACACCGACGATGACGATCAAAAGTGAAAGTTACGTTATATCGATGTATATCTGTATTAGCTACATCATAGCTACATCACAGCATCAAATTTAGTTTTCAATTTGATTTCGGACTTTGTTCGGGAGCCGAGTGAGCGCTTTGCAGCATAGAGAAATGCACGGACGGAACTGATGTAGGGTGTGGAGGTCAATTGTTGCACGGTATAAACGCGTATTTTGTAATAAAACTTTGTAAAAAAAATGATTACACCTACAGGATGTCTACTCATGTTGCTAAATAAAATTCCCTGAATTTTTCAGGTTTTTCGAGGACTTCAACGGAAGGGTTTTTAAAGATTTTGTTTAAACGTGTTTTTTCTAGTGCTGACTAACAGCAGTTTTAAGAAATTTCTCCATACAACTGAGTAGAAACAGAGGCGCGGTGGTAAGCGTCATTGCTTCTCAATCCAAAAAACCCGGGTTCAATCCCAGCCGGCACCACTGGAATTTTCTGAGGCATAAAATCTCTGATCACGCCTTCCTTTGGAAGGGAACCCCCTTTTTTTAGTTAGGTAGGTTCCGAATCTACACATTTTAGTTTCATTTTCATACCTGTGATGTTGACAGTTTTACCTAGGGGATGAGCACTTAAGGGGGTTAGGTTTTGATAATTTCTTTAGTGGGAATGACACTGATGAAGACTGCACATTGTAGTCGAAATACGTATCATGGATACTAAAATTATTTAAGTGGAATTGAATGGTAGATAACCTTTTCTCTGTTTTATTTGAGTAACCAGAGATATTAATATTAAAAAAAAAACGAATTTCATAAGATCAACGTCAATAACTCATATTCGACAAAAGATATCGACAACAATCGCATACCGATTTATCGGTATTTATACAGATTATCAAACATGATACCGATACACAGATTTATACCGACTAATACCGGTTTTTATTCATAATCAAAATGAATATTGCCTGCCCGCTCAACTGTCAGAAGTAACTATTGTGAGAGACTTTTATCATTTTGAACATCTAAAGTTTATTCATCTATAAAAATGTGTAATCCTTGACACATTTTCGACTAATGTTTCCATTTCCTCGCGGTTTTTTTGCTACCCAGAAATCGAGAAACAGCTGATGGTTAATTCTGGAAATTCCTGGGTATCAGGAAATACTTTTATTCAGTGAACAATAGGTCCATCAAAATGTTCACTTTATAACTTCCAGAAGTTTATTTAATCTTCCCTTGGAAGTTTCCTCCAGCTTTCCCCAGCATTTTTCATCCACCTTACCCCATAGGTTATTTCAGGATTCCTACTGGAAAGTTGCTTCTTCAGACTTGGCTCGAAAGGTTTTTGGGACTTTTGGGTAAGTTTAACCCTCCGTTACTCGCGCTGTTGTACTTTGTACAACACATATGAGTTTTCATTGCCATTTTGTTACTGAGTTACCAATCGATCTGAAACCAACGAGTATTCCTCAAAAAACTTGTTTTGATCTAAACAAGCTAAACTTTGATTACAGGAAATACCTAAAAAATGCGGATAATAGGGAAAATGTAAATGGAAATCGCGAAAACTGTGACAATACTACGTGGGATTTGACTCAATTGATTAGAACATGGAATATATCGAGATACTGACCAGATAGAAAGTTACTGTCTTTCACAAACTTTTTCAGGAAATTAAAGCCTATTGCTTGGTGCTCAATAGTTCAGAATTTGCTCACTACACGACGCTAGTATACACGTGAAAAACTTATATAAAATATCTCGAGTTCCCAACCAGATAGAAAGGTATTGTCTTCAGCATAGTTGTTCAAGAGGTCAAGGCTTTTTTGCAGGTGGACAGTAGCTCAGAGTTTTCTCACTTTGCGGTGCTACTATAGATGTGAAATTCTTCCATATAAAATATCTCTAGGTCCTGACCAAATAGATAGTAAATGTATTAGGCAAAGTTTTTTCAGGAAGTCAAGATCATTTTTTTGGGTGACAATAGTTCAGAATTTTCTCACTATGCGGAAAAGTATATACGTGCCTTTCAATAGCTCGAGATCTTGATAAGCCAGAAAGTTGCTGTCTTCGGAAAGCTGTTTAGGGGGTCAAGACTTTTTGACTGGTAAACAGTAGTTAAGAATTTTCTCACCACGTCGCGTTAGTATACATGTACACTTCTCGCATATGCTAAACCTCGAGATCCTGATCAGAAAGAAAGTTACTGTCGACGACAAATTTATTCAGGAGGTCAAGGTCTTTTTGCTGGTAGACAGTAGTTCAGAATTTTCTCACTTCATGGTGCTAGTATACATGTGAAATTCTCGCATATAAAATATCTCATGTTCTTGACCAGATAGAAAATTACTGTCGTCGGCAAAGTTGTTCAGGATATCATAAAATTTTTGCTCGTGGACAGTTGTACAAATTTTTTTCTCACTACGTAGTGCTAGTGAAATGTGAAATTCTCGCCTGCGATATATCTCGAGATCCTGACCAGATAGAAAGTTACTGTCTTGAACAAAGTTGTTCAGGAGGTTAAAGCCTAGAGTTTGTGAGGAAATTCTGAACTACTGTTCACCAGCCAAAAGACTTTGACCTCCTGAACAACTTTGTTGTAGACAGTAACTTTCTATCTGATTAAGATCTCGAGTTATAGCATATGCGAGAAGTGTACATCTATACTAACACCACGTGGTGAGAAAATTCTTAACTAATGTTTACCAGCCAAAAAGGCTTTGACCTCCTGAACAACTTTGTCGAAGACAGTAACTTTTTATCTGGTCAGGATCTCGAAACAAAACGCATTCGAAAATTTCACGTGTATTCTAGTGCTACGTAGTGAGAAAATTTTGAACTACTGTCCACTAGCGAAATCTATCTGATCAGAATCTCGAGATATTTTACATGCAAGAGTCTCGCGTGTATACTAACGCCACGTAATGTGAAAATTCTGAACTATTGTGCACCAAGCAATAGGCATTGACCTCATGAACAACTTTTTCGAAGACAGTAATTTTCTACCTGTTCAGAATCTCGAGCTTAGCATACGCGAGAAGTATACACGTTTACTAGCGCCACGTGGTGAGAAAATTATAGACTACTGTCCACCAGCCAAAATGTCTTGACCCCCTGAACAAGTTTACCGATAACAGTAACTTTCTATCTGCTCAGGTTCTCGAGGTATTGTATATGCGAGAATTGCATGTGTATACTAGCACCGAATAGTGAGAAAATTCTGATCAACTGTCTACCAACGAAAAGATCTTGACGTCCTGAAAAACTTTGCCAAAGACATTTACTCTCTATCTGGTCAGGATCTAGTGATGTATCACATGCGAGAACTTAACATGTATATGAGCACTACCTAGTTAGAAGATTCTGAACTACTGTTAATCAGCAAAAAGGCTATGATCTCCTGAACAGCTTTCCCTAAGACAGTAACTTTCTATCTGGTCAGGATCTCGAGATATTTTATATGATAATTTCACGTGTATACTAGCGCCGTGTAGTAAGAAAATTCTGGACTACTGTCCACCAGCCAAAAATACTTGACCCCCTAAACAAGTTTGCCGAAGACAGTAACTTTCTATCTGCTCAGGATCTCGAGCTATTTTATATGCAAAAATTGCAGGTATATACTAGCGCCACGTAGTGAGAATTTTCTGAACTACTCCACCAACGAAAAGATCTTGACTTCCTGAAAAACTTTGCCGAAGACAGTAACTTTTTATATGGTAAGGATCAAGAGATATTTTATATATGCGAGAATTTTACATGTATACTAGCGCCGCAAAGGGAGAAAACTTTAAACTACTGTCCACCAACGAAAAGGCCTTGACCTTCTGAACAACTTTGTCGACGACAATAACTTTCTATCTGGCCATGATCTCGAGATATATCACATGCGATAATTTCACATGTATTCTAGCGCTACGTAGTGAGAAAATTCTAAACTACTCTCCACCAGCGAAAAGATTATGATCTCTAGAACAACTTTGCCGGAGACAGTAACTTTCTATCTGGTCAGGATCTCGAGAATTTCCATGTTGTAATCAATTAAGTCAAATCCCACGTAGTACGGACACCGTTTACGCAGTTTCCATTCACATTTTCTCTACCATCCGCATTTTTCGGGGGTTAACTATGATAAAAATTTAGCTTGTTTAGTTAAAAACAAGTTTTTCAATGAATACCCGTTGGTTTCACATCGATTGGTAGCTCGGCTGCAAAATGGCAATGGAAAACTCACACTGTTGTACAAAGTACAACGCGCGAGTAACGGAGGGTTAAAGATCTGTAAAGGTAAGATCCAATAAAATAAAGACAGTTTAATAAACTTCTGTCAAAATTCGAGGACCTGGGAAGTTAAGGAAAGTCCAGAGAACTCCAATGAACTTAAGAATACATCAGCAATATTTTGAAAACTTCATAAGTCCAAAGAGCTTCGGGGTTATTTAATGATTTTCAG